GATTAAATTAAATAATTAAATTAAATTAAATTAAATTAAATTAAATAATGCTTTAGCCCTGGCTGGTGTGGCTTGGTGGATTGAGTGCTAGTCTGCAAATCAAAGGTCTGCCAGTTTGATTCCCAGTCAAGGCACATGCCTGGGTTGCAGGCCAGGTCCCCAATAAGGCACCCATAAGAGGCGACCACACATTGATGTTTCTCTCTCTTTTTCTCCCTCTCATCCCCTCTCTCTAAAAGTAAATAAATAAAATATTTTTTGAATTTTTAAATAATACTTTAAAAACATTTAACAGGGTTTCTGGACACCTTAAGTGCTCAGTACATGGTAGGTGGTAGCTATTTTTTAAAAATTACTTGATTATGAAAAATTTCAAATACAATCAAAGTAGACAGGATAGTATGAGTGAACCCTCATGTATTCATAACCTGGTTTCAACAATTATCAACACATGGCCAATCATGTTTCATCTGTATATCAACTTAACTCTCCATCTTCCAGATTATTTTAAAGCAAATCCTATACACCATGTTATTTCCTCTGTGTGCATCTCTAAAAGATAAAGTGTCTCTTTCTCCTTCTCTCTCTCCCTCACCACAAACATTGACATTATTTTCACCTATTTTGTACACTAAATCCTTAATATAATTAAATATCCAATCAGCATTCACATATTTCTAATTGTCTCATAAACATCTTTTTGAAGTTGGCTTGTTAAAATCAAGATGGGGTTGAAATTGTATTATTATTATTATTATTATTATGGTTTTTGTCATATAAATCTTTATCCTGGACCTCCAGTGATAGAGAACTTGCCAGTTCCCATGGCAGCTCATTTTGTCTTTAGATAGCATGACTACAAGATTTCTGTTCAGCTTCTTTATGTTGAACTTCTGCCACCCTGTATCTTTCATTCATTGGGTATTACACAGAACAAATCTGCTCCCTGTACACCATAATAGCTTGTATTGGTTTACTGTGGCTGCTGTAACAAAGTACCACAGACTGAGTGGTTTAAAACAACAGAAATTTATTGTCTCACAGTTCTGATGGCTACAAGACTGAAATCAAGGTTTTAACAGGGCTATGTTTCTTTTGAAGTCTCTAGGGGAGAACCCTTCCTTACATCTTCTAGCTCCTGGGGGTTCCTGTTCCTTGGCTTGTGGCAGCACGATACCAATCTCTGCCCCTGTCTTCACATGGCAGTCTTCTCTTTGTGACCATATTTCCCTTTTCTTATAAGAACACCAAACATGTTGGATTAAGGGCCCACCTTACACCAATATGACCTCATCTGAACTAATTGCATCTGCAAAGACTCCATACTCAAATAAGGTCACATTCTGGTGTTCCAGGGGTTAGGACTTCAACATATCTTTTTTGGGGAAACACAATTCAACCTATAGCACAAAACTTCAAATGTTTCAAGAAAACCATTAAATCCCATGTAGGCTTCCTTATCCTGGTTAAACCTTTCCTGTTTCTTCAACCATTTTTGAAGTTTGGCATTATTTTTTCCAAACCACTGGCTTTTATCAAGTAATCCAACTTAGCTTACTGTTGAAATGTTGTTCAAGTGTATTCTGACCATACAAGAATAAACCCAAACTATCTCTTCTCTGGTTTCACATACTCTACTTCTATCACTGCAGTCTAAGTTTGAATTAGTACATTTTTTCTATCTCCCCCATCTCAGACCAAGTTAGGTGTCTCCCATTTCTATTATTTTGTTCTACGTTTATCATTTTACTTACCACATTATGTGATTATTGTTTGTATGAAGAAAATAATAAGGGTGTTATAAGTCAGTTCAATGAGCTGACAGTGTGTTATAGTCACAAAATAGCTGACTCATCAAACATTAATTGATGTTCCTACTATGGGTTAATTGGGTTCCTACTATGTTCCAGGCACTGTACATGATATGATGGATACAATTTTGAATAAAACATAGTCACTGCCCTCTGGAAGCTCATAGTCTAATGAAGGATACTGGCATACAGACAAAAAATATGGCAGGACAAGTGCTGTAATCGAGTCAAGCTCAGGGTACTTTGAAAGCACAGAAAAAGGACACCTAACCCAGTCTAGGATAGACTGTTAGCTTAAAGGAAGCCTTCCTTGAGGAGATGATGCCTGAACTGAGTCTAAGAGGATGACAAGTAGTCAGCCAGGCAAAGCAGGAGAAGTAAACAGTGGAGGGATAGGCTTCAAAGCAGAGGCTGAAGCATGAGCAAAAGAATAGAAGTGTTTAGAGAAATGTAAGGCTGCAAGCATTTTGGTATTGCTGAAACATCAACTATGAGTGAGACGTGAAGCTGGGAGATGAAGCTGGCAAGTTTGAAGAACTGTGTATGTTCCTGACAAAGCTTGAACTCCATCTTGTAGGCAATGGGGTGTTACATGATCATGTTTGCACTTTAAAAAGCTAGTTCTGGTGGCTGTGTGGAGAGTTGGATAAGGTGAAAACTGGAAGCAGAGAGGTCAGCTAAGAGTTGGTTACAGCTACTAGGTATATGATGAATGAAGAAATATTTGAGAAGTAAAATCAAGATTGGGTCAGTATATAGCGATGAGGGGAGTAAGATAAAGTGAGGAGGCAAAATGACCAGTAGATTGCTGGTGTGGGGTGACTGGGTAATGATATCTTTTGAGACAAAAAAAATATAACAAAAAGAACAGGTTTGGGGAGGAAAAGATAATGAGTTTGGCTTTGGTTATGTTAAATTTCAGGTACCTGTAGGATGTTTCAGGTTTGGAGTAAAGTTATGGCCTGGAGACAGAGCTTTTGATGTAATCAGAGTGAAGATTAAAAAAATAGAGACAGTAGAATGTATGGGACCATCTGAGGTTATTTGAAAAGCGGGAAGAACCAAGGACTTAGGATAGAATCTTGGTCAACAAACACATCTTGGTATGGAGGAGGATCACATGAAGGGCAAAATAAGAATACTTATAGAGGGGAACTGGAAAAGTGTGGTGTCATGAAATCAAACAAAAAAAAAGCAGCAGCATTAAATAAATAGCACTGAAAGTTCAGTAGTATAAGGGTTTCAGGAGAGAACTTGTTTAATGCTTTGCTAAAATCTAAAAGAAAAATCAAAATTCTATTCTCATTTTCTTGTTTTCCCTATCAGTTAACATCATCAAAGAAGGAGTGCTTGAAAGAATGCCAAGGTACTCCTCCAGAAACCTCCTGTAATAGGAAACAAATTTTAATCTCATGGCTATTAAATTCTTTTTTTTTTCTATTTTAGGGAATTTGCAAAGGGAAGATGCTAAAAATTAATAAACTCCATTGCTGTAATTTAGTAAGCTAAATTGGTCAGAAGTGCATGCCAGATGTCCTTCTTTCTCCTAGATAGTAAAGATAAGTATGGCTGAGTTGCATTAGATGAGGAGATTTGTGATCCTGGACAGCAAGGCAGAAAGGAGAATATACTTGAGAGGCTTGCTTGGGGGAGAGAGGGCTCAGATATGTTGTATGTAGTCAGTGTGTTAATTTCCTGAGAAAAAGGAAACACATAGGTTTGGACCTAGTGGCCTGAATGAAAGTAAGGGAAAGAGACAATAGAGTACCATGATTAATGGCACCAACTTTGACATAGACTCCCTTAATTTGTCCTCCAGCTCTGACACTTACTAGTTGGTGGCCTTTCCTAACCAATAATCATGTATCTCACCTAGGTAATGAGCATAGCATTTTTCAGAGTAAAGGAGATTGTGTTTTAAAGCCTCTGGCAAAGTGCACAGCACCTAGTAATCCTCCATAAAAATCAGCATCCCCTTTCCTCCCCTGCCCAAAAAAGATTCTTACTGAGTAGAGAGAATGACCTCAGGTTACAGGATGAAGGAGTCAGGAGTAAAAAAGGTGATTTTATCTAACTTTCCAGATGAAAAGTCATGAACCATGTTGAGGTATGCTTGAGTTCACAAGGGACCAGATTAAATCCTTTACACAAGAATGAAATTAAGAAAAAATATGGGATGGGAGTAAAAGGCAGAAAACTGTACTTGAACAATTAAAATTAAAAAATAAAAAAAATACTTGGTATCAGAGTATATTCAGCTATATGTTAACAAACTGGCTTAAACAATATGTATTTTTTACATAATAAGACATCCAGACATAGTGTGTGCTGTAAGGTTAGTTGATTCAGCAGCTGTATAATTTCATGAAGGACACAATTTCCTAACCTATGTTATATAACAATAGAAAAGGTAAGTAAAGTATTGTAAACTGCATTAGGAGGAGAGACTTGTAAATGGGAGTGTAAATGAGCTAAGTCCTTATCTATGAAAGCAGGAAGTCAATAGCTGATGTTTAAAATGAAAATAAATAGTACAGAGAGTTATGTTATTTAGAAATTTGGAGGAAAGAAACAAACAAAAAACACTACCAAAAAGAAAAGAAAAGTTATTGCCCAGGAAATAAGTCTAAGATAGGATGAGGTGGGCTGAAAGGATTTTTGCTTTCATTATAAACTCTTCTGTAATTGTTCATGTTTTAAAATAATGTGCTTTATTCCTTTGATATTTTTTTAAATTTTAAGTCTACATAATTCTTTTTAAAAATTATTTTATTGTTGTTCAATTTTTACAAAATTTTCCATGTATTTGACTTTATTTCATGCAAGCTCTAAAAATTGGTCATTTTCAAGTCCTGGGAACATGGTCATAAAATCCAAGTGATGTCTTTCTGAAAGTGAGTTTGCTCTGGTTGACTCAGATATTACACACCTAATTTGTTCCTGAATACAATTTTACTTTTAACAACCTGATGGTCAAACTGATAATCTGACAACCAGCTTCAAAATTGCAAGAATAAAAGAACATTATTGTTTGTATAATTTAATAACTTTTCATAGAGGAAATATATCATAAGAGTTTCTGGTCAGCAAATTAAGTACTTTAAACTTGTTATGAGATGATGAGCTATTTACTTACCTGGGGTTTTTCTTTAAAACACTTCTCGAGGGGCTAGAGCTGAAGGTTTTTCACTAAGGAGCTCCTCTTTTATCATGGGCCTCAACTTCTTTTCCAAAGTCTCCTCTACCAGCATCAAAGTCTTCATGAAACTCATCTCTTACCTAGCCCCCAGATTGGCCACAACCATACTGTCTGCCCTCTCTAAAGCCTGGATCCCAATCTCTGTGAATGATATAGTCATCTAAGATGGTTCCATTTAGGAATAGCATGGCATTTTCAGCATCAGTTCTGTTGTGGTATTCTACAAAACAGAAACCACATGCCATTTTCTTTATTTTATCCAAACCCACAAATATATTCCTGACATTGCCACATCTACTAAAGAGCTCAAATATTTGTTATTTGGTTGTAGAAAAAGAAAGATTCCCCACATACAGAGTGCAGCTTTCTTTCAGAACTTTTTCATGCTCTTTGTTATCACCACTGAAATGCTGGTACCGACCTTCGCTCAGCTCCAGGTAGGAGTCACTGCACAGAATTTTCAGGTCCTTGGACATGATGCCCAACAAGCTCTGTGAGGGCAGCAGGTCATGATCCAGCTGGCAACAGTGACACCAACAAAATCCTAAATTAATTTTTTTTAAAGTAAAGCTACAAGGAAGGAAGAAGAAAAAGAAACCTGTGGATATTTAAGAGGTTTGTGCCAACATGCACTGACACCTCAGCTCTTGACCAGGAGGATCATATCAAGGCAAACCCCAGAGAGAATGTTCCAGGTACCAAGAACATGGTCATGAAATCAGGAAGTCTTCCTGGAAAGGAAGTTATGCTGTCTTTGGTTGACTCAGATCTTACCTACCTAATTGATTACCAAAGAATATATTTAATAACAGTATGCTCTTGAAAAGTATGGCATAAAATAGTAAAAATGGGTCTAATTTTCATGGACAATGAGTACTACTATCATTCCTGATCTAGGACTAGACATCAGATATGCCACATAGATAACCAAGGTTAAAGTACAAATACCTTTGTGACATACTCTCTCTTAATTTAAAACAATAAATTTGTGATTCATACCTATAGTATGAGAATCAACATATTGTAGTTAGATAAGACACAGTCCCAATATATACTATCAAGTATACAAATAGCTCTATAAAAATGAAAACTCTCTTGCATCATAAGTTTAACTTAAATTAACATTAGATTTTATTAGCAATAATTCCACTTGTCATATTAGACTTTAGAAGGACTCTTGCTTAATTACTTGAATATTCCAAGCCTATTTTTCAAAACCTTCCCAGAGAATTTTAACTGATGTCTTTTTCTTCCTTTATTAAAATTTCCTACTGTGGTGAGAGGCACTAAAAATGATTTAAACAGTCTTTGCCAGGAGTCACCGTGGTTTCCTGCTTCAACAGTACTTGAACAGAACCCAGCCGGGGGAATACTTGACCCCGTATTCCAGCCAGCCACCCAGATTCATCCTTCTGCCACCTCCTCACAACATCCTGGAACCACCCCAAGGCTGCCACCAGCACTCAAGCACCGCAAAGCTGCCTGTCCACAGCCTCCCATCTTTAGCTGCCCATCATGACTACCACACCCACCTCGCAGATGCCCCAGAACTACCACCAGGACTCGAGGCTGCCATCAACCATCAGAACAACCTGGAGCTCTATGCTTCCTACATCTATCTGTCCATGTCTTACTATTTTTACCACAATGTTCTGGCTTTGAAGAACTTTGAAGAACTTCAAAGAAGTTCTTCAAATGAAGAACTTTGTCAAATATTTTCTTCACCAATCTCATGAGGAGAGGAAACATGCTGATATTCTGATAAAAGCTGCAGAACCAAGGAGGTGGCCAACTCTTCCCTCAGGATATCAAGAAACCAGACCATGAAGACAGAGAGAATAGGCTGAATGCAATGGAGTGTGCATTACACTTGGAAACAAGTGTGAATCAGTCATTATTTGACTTGCACAAACTGACCACTGAAAAAAATGACTCTCATTTGTATGACTTCATTGAGACTCATTACCTGGATGAGCAAGTGAAATCCATCAAAGAATTGGGTGACCACAACCCAGCCTTCACAGGTTGAGGGCCCTTGAATCTGGCATGGCACAGTATCTCTTTGACAAGCACACTCTGGGACATAGTAAAGAAAGTTCAGCTTAGGCTTCTTTCCCACAGCCACAAGAGTGACTTCCCTGGTCACCAAAGTGGTACATGCATGTTGGAGTTATCTTTACCTTTTCCATACCTTCTACCAAATCATCACTTATTTCTCTCATTTGTACCATTCCTTCAAATAAAGTAATTTGGTACCCCCCCCAAAATATGATTCAATTGGTTTTAGCCATGCTTTTCAAAAAAATAAGCATTAGTACCCCCACCTCTCCTATTTTGTAATGATTCCCAAGTTTTAATGTGAAAAAAAGCTGTAGAACTAGATAAAATGCAGATTCTTACAGCCTGTCTTTAACAGATTCTGACTCAGTAGATCTAGTGCAAGACCCAAAGAACTTACATTTAGCATTTAACTTGCACCTTTCAGTGATCCAGATGCAAGTTGTCCACAGACCACACGTGGAGATTTCTTTTAACAAACATTTAATGAGCACTCTTTATTTGCTAGGCACTATGCTAGATGCTATAAATATATCCATGAATAAGACACAGTGAAAGTACAATTTTCAGAAAGTATTATATCCCCAGCACCTCACATTAACAATGACTTGTGCACACATTAAACATGCAATAAATATCTGCTAAATGTATGAACACATGAGTTCACAATTGGTGATGAAGCTATACAGATAAATACAAAACACAATATGATGTGATCAGTACTATTTTAGAGACATAACATGGAGGAAAGGGAGAAGGGAACTAATGTTTTCTGGGAATCTACTTCATGATGAACACTGTGCAATTTCTACTATATCCCACAGGAGGAGAAGCAATTACTTGGCTTGGGGACATCAGAGAAGGCTTCCAGAAGATGGACTGAATACACTGATTCTGAAAACACAAAGTGTGTGTGTGTGTGTGTGTGTGTGTGTGTGTGTGTTTAGTGAAGATGTAGATATTTAGGGAATGAACCAAAGAAAACATGTGCAAGGGCAGAATGTAATCAAAGAAAAAATAAAAGTATAGAAAACTAAAATGGAAGCCTCAGTAAAACCAGGTGCAAACAACAGTGCTGTACAATTCATAGCAATGAAAATGGGGGCCTCTGCCTACTTAGATGTCATTTGAAGGCAGTGGGAAGCCCAGTGCCCAAAAATCATCTTTCTGACAGTCTGTCAATAATGTCTGGAAGTCTGCCACTGGAAACTCATTACTTTGAATCATTGATAAGTTGTCCCCCCAAAATAAATATCCCTCCCAGACTTCATTTCCTTTTTAAAAAAAAATCTGGTTACTAGATTGGCAGATCAGATAATTGATAGCTATAGTGGATCTCACTTCATACAGGCATTGGACAAAGTTTCCCATAATTTCCTTGTAGATGAATTGGCAAAATATAGGCTGGATGCTTCAGCTGTTTGTTAAGATGAATTTGTAACTAACTAGTTGAACAAATGAATGGTTTGGTGTCAGATTAGATGGGAAGTTCTAGCAGTGAGTCAAAAGGCTCTATTCTTAGCTGTGTGTCTTGTTTGACTCCTTTATAATTTGGCTTACTACAAACAAGAGTTTTTAAAACAGACCTGTCCAAAGCTAGAGTGGGCTGCCTTGAGGTGCAATGAATACCAGACACTAAGGGGTTCAAGCCAACACTTGCCTAGTAGTCAAACAGTGGAGAGGCCCCTTTTAATCAGCATAGTGCTAGGAATCAAGCATGAACTTAAAAATCAAAGAACTTCAGTTCACCTTGCAATGTGACTTTGGACAAAGTGCTTAACCATATTGATTTCAATGCCCTATTCTGTATCAAATGCTGTGACAATGTCATCTGTAAAAGCATCTAACACAATGCTGAACACACTATAGTTGTTCAATAAATAGAAGGTATTAGCCAAATTATTTCAATTCTGTGATTCAATGACTCAGAATAGAACATATAAATATATACTAAATCTGCCAATAACACAAAGGTAGGGGGGACTTTAAAAGAAAGTGGAAGGTACAGAGGATCAAATACAAAGTGACAGAAGGAGATTAGACTTTGTGATAATGAGCACACAATACAGTGTACAGATGTCACATTATGAAGTTGTATACCTAAAATTTATATGTGATTGACCAGTGTTACCCCAATAAAGTTAATTTAAAAAAAGAAAATGGAAAGGATCTCAGCAGCCATGCATGATGCTGAACTCAAACTGAGAGTGATGGATAACACTTAAGAATAAATATAAAGTGTTACTTTCAGATTTAATACATGACAAAGGGACAAAGTAAAGACAATCTAGAAAGAGCACAGGCTTTGGAGCCCTGCTTTATAATTGGGCCTTCCCATACTTCATTCATTTCTTCATTCATTCAATGAACATTCATGGAGCACTATGCTAGATTCTGGGAAAATAACCAAAAATAAGATGCAACCCCTGCCCCCAAGATGCTCACAACTTGGGGAGGCAGACAACTTAAAATAAAAATTTCAACATAATGTGATTACTTACAGTAGTGCATACTAGGCCCAGAGGTAGCACACAGAAGGGGGGGGAACTTCAGGAGTGGAAGGTGGGGATGGGGCACAGCTTTCTAGAGGATATACCCCCGACTCTTTTTTTAGAAAAATACCACTTTATATTTTTTGAACAACCAATTAAAACTTATGTTGCAAAAATACAAGTACAAGAGGATAGGCAAAGTAAATCTGCCCTTCACCCTTGTGCCCCTGCTACCCAGTTCTCTGTAGAGGCAAGTCATTGTCACTAATTTCTTGAACATGTATTCAGACCTACTCCAAGTCCAATTTTGAAAGCTGAATAAGGGTTTGGTTGTTAAGACAAGAAGTCATTCTAGTCAGAGAGGACAATGTGTACAAAAAGCATGGAGACATGATGGACTGTGTTCAGTGTGATATTATTTAGGCAAGATAATAAAAAATAATAGGAGATAAGAATAGAAGGGTAAGCAGGGCCAGGTTGTAAAAGGCCATTATAAGGCATGTGGAGAAGCTTGGACTCTACCAGTAAGGAGTGGGAGGCCATGATAAAGCTTGACACTTAGGAGTGACGTGATCTGGTTTGTATTACAGAAAACTCATTCTAGCTCCAGTGTGGAGAACAGATTAAAGAGGAGTAGGCCAATAAGCAAAAAAGACCAGTTGGGAAGCTATTTAAGTAGTAGTTGTTGTTTTTGTTTTTTTTTTAAGAAATGGTGCAGATTCTGGACTAATATGCTATAGTAACATAAAGAAATAATATATCAGATAGATACTTAGAAGACAGACTTAACAGGTCTTGGCGACTAGTTGAACAAAGAGTCTAGGATGACTCCCAAGTTTTAGGCCTAGACAACTGTGTGGATAGAGGTCTGAGTCACTAAAATGGAAAGTTTGAGGTTCATAGAGGAAGAGTGGCAGATTTGTGTA